GAGAGAGAGAGAGAGAGAGAGAGAGAGAGAGAGAGAGAATTTTAAATCCCATGGACCAGAGACCCTGGGAAAATCCCAAAAAAAGTCTGCAGGAAAATTCCCCATCCCATTTTCCTATCAATCGATCATTCTTTATTTGGGATCACAGGATGCCATCTCCAGTTCCATTCTCATGGGAAGAGATAGAGAGAGACTTTTGGCTTCATGCAAGGAAAACAGCAGAAGCAGAAGTCTTTCTTTCTCTCCCCCCAAACTCCACCAGGAATGAGTCTTTGAGAGACTTGTTGCATCTTGGAACAGGGTGCATTGCAGGGTCCCAAAGACTCATTTCTGGCGGAGTTTGGGGGAGAGAAAGAAAGACTTTTGCTGCTTTCCTTGCGTGCAGCCAAAAGCAGAAGCAGAAAGAAGCAGCCTGGTGGCGAGGCCAGGTGTGTGGGACGAGTGGGGCAAGTTCCCCCCTCCCTTTCCATCCTCCCCTCACTACCTCATGTTGTTCGCAATGCAAGCAATGCAAGCCTTGTATTCCCATATTGCTTTAGGGATGACATTTTTCTGTGGACCACCAAAATTTTCTCACAGATCACCAGTGGTCCCCGGTACACTGGTTGGTGACCACTGTTTTAGATGGTCTGGGAATTGTGCATGTTATTTGGAGAGTGGCACAAGTGACCTTCAAGAAGAAGACCTTCAAACCAGGCTGGGCACAACTAGTTAGCAGCAGGAGGAAGAAGAAGATGACAAAAATCAGCTGCGGGTAGCATGGCCAGTGAGCACAGGGAAGCAGGACTGACAGAAATGGCAGAATGCAAAGTGGCCATAAGGGCAGAGATTGGGGAGGGGGGCGTTGATAAGAGGATGGGAGAATTGAAAAGGAGGCAGTTCCAAACTTAAGGAGGGACCAAGCTGGGAGAGGCTTGGGTCAGTTGGTAATGGTGGCAATGGGGAGTGCTAGGATTGCTTTCACTAAGTGTCAGATCATGCTTTATGACCACTTCATTTATCAATGGAAATTCTGGTCCCAATTACCACCATAGCTCAAGAACTACATATAATTAATAATAATTAATATCCAAGTAATAATTATTTATATCCATCCATAAAGGTGATCCAGAAAAGTTCAGTTTGTAAAAAGTCTCTGGAAGGCTGTCTTAGAAGGGGGCAGCCATGATAGAAATACAGTACTTTCTGACCTCTGCCTTCCTCACTTCACAGAACACTTGTCATAAGCTGCTTCTCCTAAGGCACAGGTGTCAAACTCACAGCATCACATTGCCATCAGGTGACATTTCGCAACGGTTTTCACCTTCACCGAGCTGGGGTGGGCGTGGCCTGCATGGGACGCATCTGGCTTGTGGGCTGCCAGTATGACACCCTTGTCCTAAAGGAACTTCTTCAGGTGGGAGGAATCTGGCAAGAATAGGTGGTCTGATATGTTCTCCTGGCATGCTCCCTACCAGTTTCATCTCTTGGAAGAGCAGCTGCTGCTTCTCATTTACAAAGCCATTGTCCACAAGCCTCATGTTAAGGGTTACAGGTTGGAAGGTTGCACTCTATGCTCGTTACTCATCAGACCTAATTAGGAACACATCTGTTGTAACAGTTCAAAAACAATATCTTCCATCCTACCAGGCAAAGTAATGAACATGGTGGTTCCTACATGAATATTTCATATATCAGATTAACAAAGCAAATTAATTGAACTGGATCGATTCAATAGGATGTTTTGTAGAATATTTTGGACCATAGAGACCCCAAAATTATATCTCCAGCGATAATGTCTTAGAGTTGGCTACCATTAGAAAACATATTTTGCTCTTTTAATGTTTAACCTTTGGCTCATGGGTTTTTAATCCTACACTGTCAATCCTTATTGTTTATTATTTTCTAAGAGGCTGCAGTCCTGAAGTAAGACCCTGTATTATCAATGGGTTATTTTCTCTTTCATATAAGGAAGTCACAATCAGAACCCAAGAGAGAAAAGGAAGCTAAGAAGCCTACCATTAAGAAGCCTTTGAATGCTTTTATGTTGTACATGAAAGAAATGCGGGCAAAGGTCATTGCTGAATGCACCTTGAAGGAAAGCGCCGCAATCAACCAAATTTTAGGAAGACGGGTAAGAGCACAAGTGGTCTGTCTTGTTTTGATTGATATATAGGCATTAGGAAAGGTTCACAGTGAATGAGTTGTTTGGTTTTTCAGAAATTCTGGATTTTAGTTGTAAACATTATTTTCAGCTGAGATATTGCTCCAATGGATTGGGAAAGAGGCTGGTGAAAGGCTCTGAAAATTATTCTCCTATATAGGTGAATAGTCCAGCTGTATAGTGGCCTGACTGGTGTGCAGTTTGCAGTATACCAACACGCTTTTCCATAGCTGAGATCTGTATGGTTTTTGCTGCATCTTCTCCATATTTAGACTTTAATGGTCCCTGTAACTGTTTCAGTGCATTTGGATGGGCTTTGAAAATGTAATGAAATTTATAATAAAACTTCTGCACTGCTGCAGAAAGGACTGCTTAAGAAAATACAACACACACACACACACACACAAACATTTTGCTTTTTCCAGTTTGTTTTCGGAAGATTGTTTTGAAGTCCCTGCATCAGCAGATTATGAATTAGTTTTCATTATCCTTGACTTTCAAAACATGTCAGGAAACTCAAAATGATTATTTGTAGATCACTTTCTACATCTAAAATATTTTTCCTTCCACAAAGTACAGATCCACACAACACTGTAAGGCAGGTGCCAACTATTGTCATTTTGGAGAGGGGATGTAGTATGAGAAATGACCTACCAAAGGTTGCTCAACTAATTTATTATAGCTGAGGAAGCTTTTTCATTTTGATTTTCAGAGACCAGTGATATTTTAATTTACTTTTTTGGCCAATCATATAATTTAACTTTCAATTTTATCCCAAATTCTGATCTTATTTTAAATAGTAAAAAATGTAAAGTGGATATATATACTCATTAAAAAAGTAAAAACAATTGCTGGTGAATTTGGTCAAAATCTTCTATTCCTAAATTTAACAATGTGCAAGGATTTAGTTTATTTATAGAACAAGAGATTGAATTCTCTTTTATTTAATAAACTTTTGCTGTTGCTTCCTCCACAGAGAACTTCAGTTTCCATAAAAACTGATAAGCACAGGCATATGCAAATGAATAACAGTGACTGTATTAGTAATTAGTGATTTGGGGATTTGAGAAATGAAGAAATGCTAAAATAAAATTGCTATTGCTGCATCTTTTTTTCCATGCTCTGGTACAGAAAACTCGTAGGTGGAAGGGGGAAATGGAGCATTACCTAATCACAAGAGTTGAAACTGTACTGTTTTTCCTGCTGGCCATTCTTCAGATTCACTGCTGTGAGATGGTGGCTATATAAATCGATGTAATTAATAAACAAATGTCTAGAAGTTGTAGTTCAGCAACATCTGCAGAGTCACTAATTCCTCATTCTCCTCTGCTATGTGGATTATTCTTCTTTCATGTGTTTATCAAGATCAGATGTATGCAACAGAGTGTTTCCAAATACCATATATAAAGTTAAGGGCTGAATCTTTGGGAACATGTTGATCTTCCTTCCACCCATCTTGCATCTATGCAATGAATTAGATGTTAAAAGAGAATTAAGATTTCTAGATATATTTTAGATCTTGCTTAAGAATGTGGCTGGTTGCTGCTGATGGGAGCTAAAATCTACCAACACCTGGGAGGCAACAGTACCCTTTTCTGATCTCAGGATGTGACACCACTGTAAATATCTTGGGTGCTCATTGTTTTCTATGGTTCCTTTTCAGTGGCACGCATTGTCACGAGAGGAGCAAGCCAAGTATTATGAACTGGCCCGCAAGGAAAGGCAGCTTCACATGCAGCTTTATCCTGGCTGGTCTGCAAGAGATAACTATGTGAGTATTTGGGATCTGTGGTGTGGTGGCAGAGTTTGTGTGGGACACTAGATATTTTTGCTTCATAAATAACTCCAGGCTTCTTCATCTTTGCCACTAATGGCTTTCAGTTATCTGCCTTAGTAGTTTGCAAGTGATGCCAACCCAGTGAGAGACTTCATTGAAGACTGGTTTCAAAAGCTTTAACTAGATTATCTGAACTATGAATAGTAAAGGTCATATGAAACTGGTAGAAGTGGTAGAAGAAGACCAAGCAATATTGATGACAAGAATATTTTATTTTGTATTTTACCCTGAAAACGTTCTGAGCTTAACATTGAAAAGAACTTTTCTAAGTTCAGTGGGATTCTCTTTTCTGCTGCCCTGCCATCACTTTCTCACAATATATTGCAAGTCATAATTCACACATACACAAGCTCCTGCTTTCAGATGAATCTTTCTCAAGGGGTGAAGGAGGATTGGGGGAGTGGGGGGGGGGGAGAGAATTGACAGCAAATTATGCTCAAGAATTAGTGGTATCACTGTCCAAGGAGTGGGAGCACGAGGAAAGGTTCTTCCATTGAGTTTAGGATGTGAATTCAATAGGTTATTATAAGCCAGAATATTGAGAGTAGATTAAAACTCTACTGTAACTGCCCTTCAGGCACTGGTTTCAGCAGGATCTTATAACGTTAACTTCAATGCAACTCAAAAAGAGGTTCAATGTATTTAGTGCCATTATCTCTATTTGCCATGAGAATGGATGATTGTGTTTGTCCACAATTCCTCTGATTGGGTCACAGACGGACATATTGGGAAAGGGGTATTCTAAAATACGCTGAGTATTTACAGCTGGGGGTTTATAAATCTGCTTTTTGATAGGTTTCTATTTTGTACACTTCATTTTCTTTCCTAGTTTGGTTTCCTGTTTATTTATTTTGCCAATATATATGACACCCTGCTGAACCTTATCTTCCTCTTCCCTCCCCCTCATTTCCCCAGAGTGGTATTTAGGGCCTATTCTCTTAAACTGATTCCTGCTGGGATCTATCATTTCGACTTTCAATATTTGTTTTCTATTCGAAACAGCAGACCTGTAAGCATTTCTTTCTTTGCATAGTTTTTACATACCTTAGCATAATTTTCTCTTTTTTTATACAGCATTTTGACATTAATTGCAATTATCTCTGACTGGGTACCTCAGATTATCTAAGGCTCCATCTCTACACATCCTTCATTTTGTTTCATTTTTATATTCTCCATTCTATCCAGACAGAATAAATAAAACGTAAAGATGCTTTTCTTTCTTATATTTACACAAGATGTTATTTCCAACTTTTGAATATTGATTTTAAAAATTGTGGTATTTTCTTTCACCTTATTCTCCTTTATTCTTGTCTTCCCTTTAGCTTTTACTTCTTTCATTCTATCTCTATCCTCTTTTTTTACTCTTTTTACTTACTTTTCTCACCAACATGGTTTTGTTTTCTGTATGTTATTTGTTTTATAGTAAATATTCCTTTCCCTGGACTTTTTTCCTTAATAAATCTCTATATAGTTTTTTAAAAAACCCTTGGCTACTCATTTATCTTCTCTATTTGTCACCATGTGGCTTCTTCTCTGTAAGAACTATATATTACTATCCTTTGCATTGACTTCCACTTATTTTATATTTTATGCCTCTGCCCATAATTTATGGTTCCCACAAGAACTGCATCTCCACAACCTTACCTTGGTTTACCCAGTGGTTAAAAATGTATTTCTTTTCCTGAACGTTTACTTTTGACTTCTGCTACCTTTTTTTATTCTCTATCTTTTCTCTGTCCCTTTTTTGTTGTTGAGCTTGATGCTTTATGAGTAGAGGGCCATAAAACATTCTGCTATGAAATGTTCCAATCTCAAAACAGGATATTTTTCCAAATGCTCTAGGTTTACCATGTGACATTCCAAGTATTCAGAAAGTATCCAATCTTGAAATGGGCCATTCCAAAAAATGATCTCAATTATTCACAGCCCATTTTCAGATTAGAAAGAATATGAAATCTTTGAAGCCTCCTATTTCACAGTCAAAACATTCCATTCCAAAATGTTTTGGAACGTGTGTCTTTATGAACAACCAAAATAAATGGCATCTTTATAGTTGGACACACAATTTGGCATTTTTATCCACCTACTGAGTCCTTGCCAAGGACCTGGGATAGGCAGATGTTCTTGTTTAATAACATTAAAGGGATTGTTACAAGATGTACGCTCTTCCAAGTAAAGCTGTCTCTTGCAATTGACTGATGGTGACTTTGTCCATGCTGATAGTGTTCAAGTGATGGTTCAGAATTTGGAATTGTGCCTGAGGTGCCTATTACTACTGGTACTGTCATTGCTTTCTTTTGCCACAGCCTTGCTTCTTTTTGCAGGTCTTTGTATTTTGTGATTTCTCTCCAATTCTTCCTCTTCTATTCTGTTTCCAGGTATTGCAATATCTACTATCCAGATTTTTTAGTCTTTTCTATCAATTGTTTAGTCTGGAGTGTTGTGTGACAAATGCTTATCTGTTTAAATTCTGAAGTTTCAGAGGACTTTAGCTTCTTCATTTGTTATTAATTTGTCTGTTTTATTGTTCCATCAGTACTTGTTTGCAGGCAAGTGATATTTCTTACAGATATTCCAATGCACCATTGTTGCTATTTTGTCATCCCATTGTTTGTGGTCAGTCTACACAATCTTCTTGAAGCAACCAATTAGTTGGTTTCTTCAGCTTCTTTGTAGGGACAGCATTTGTTCTCTATTGCCATCTTCTCAATTCTGGCTTTTGTTCTTAAAGTGTGATCTTGTACAGCCAGAATTGTCTCTTTTTTCTGCACTTAGCCATTACCTGATCATGTTGTTATCAGCTTTGCCTGCTACTTTTTTTGTGCGTCCTGGCCATGTAATATTTTGCCTTGCTATGTCTCTTTTCTATTTTTTAAAATTTGATTTTTCTTGTAGGCCAGTTTGGTATCTTTGGCATTTAGTAAACTTTCATAGTATACTAGCTTCAGTGCCTCTGCTTCACTGTCTTTCCAATATTCTTCTAATGCCCTTTTCCAATTTTTTGTCTGCCTATGTCCTTGCATCATTCCATGCTCACCTACGCTCCTTGGTAAGTAGACGGCCATAGAATGTTACAAGGACACCAGACAGTTGAAAAAGAGAAGAGGGGCATTGGAAAATTATTTGAAGGACAGAGAAGAAGACATTATTCAGAGCTCCTTCCCTTAAATGGGATTGGGCATTAAAAAGGCTAAATTTCTCCTGACAAGATTGCCTCAAGAATATTCAAACTATGTAAGTGACAATAAAAGCTAGATCCTTTTTTGGTGTTAAGCAAATGTTTAGATGTGATGCCTGACTAAGATACTTAATTCTTGTGTGGGGGGAAAATAAGCAATTGCTTTAAGGTGGATCTTCACCTTGAAATTGTATAAGGATTTAATTTTTTAAACATCTCTTTATTAATTAATTGATTGCTGTCATCAAGAAACTATTTATTTCCTCCTCATGCTGACAATATAAAATTGGTTAAAAAAAATAATCAGGCAATAAGAAGAATTTTTGTATTTTAAATTTACATGAGTTTGAATTAGATTGTGCCCATTATAAATAATGAAAATTACAATAGGGAAAAGGAGAAAGGCTTTGGTAGTATTCTCAAAGTAAATAATAATCAGAAATTAATGTTTCATGTATAATTATTAGTATAAATGATTTCTCTCTCTCTCAACAACATACTTTACCGTATTATTCTTGTATGTGAATATTATAGCTGCATTCAGGCAGTTTAATATTGCTAGATCTAAATTGTCCTTAGTCCAGAGAAATTGCTGCAGGCTTTCATGCAGATAGCCCTTGCTTAAGGACTCTTGCCACTGAAACAGGAACTCCATCATAACATTAAGCAAGAAATCACATGACCACAACAGATTTATGACCTCACTTTTGCCATGGTTGTTAAGTGAATCACTTTTGATAATTAAGCAAGACACCACTTAAACACGATTTGTGATTTTACTGCCATTGACTCTACTTGTCAAAAGCTGGCTGTAAAGTGTACAAATGGTGATCATATGACTGCGGGGAAACTGTGATGGTCATAAGTTCAAGGACCAGTGTGACCACTGTCAAACAATTGCTAAACAGGGCACTTGTTATGTGAGAATACTGCACTTTTCTTTATGCAGGTCTATGGAAGATCTAGATCTAGGTTAATAATTCACATTGCATTTGAGGACGAACACTTCAGGGAAAATATTCCTTAGAAATCTGGATACATCTTGTGAATAGTGCAAAAGGGATGGATTTCTTTGCAGTATAATGCAACAGGGATGCACCATTGCATATTTTATAGCAGTTCACTATGCAAAAAAATGGAAAGAGATAACAGAAAGAAGATTCATATCGGGATATAGCTGCACTTGACTTCATCTTGAAATGTAACAAAGAAAAAAAATCATTAAAACAATATTCAGAAAGAGATAAGCTTCACCAGGCTTCTTTAAATTTGATGGTGCCTTCCCTGATGCTTATCTCAGCAGGTTGCAACACGTGATTTGATATCAGAAGTTAAGTATAATCAGCTCTGGACAGTACTTGGAAGAGTTCCAATAAGGAATTGCAGAGTTGTTGACTAGGCTGTGAGTTTGAAAAACAAAACTAAAAAGAGAGCCACAACATTTCCATAACACTGCTTAGAACATGGGTCTCCAACTTTGGCAACTTTAAGACCTGTAGACTTCAATGCCCAGAATTCCCCAGCTAGTGAATGCTGGCTGGGGAATTCTGGGAGCTGAAGTCCACAAGTAGAAGACTGCATAGATGTAGTTAATTGGTGGCAAGCTAAGTTTAGGGCTATCTACTTTTATTTACATACATCTCTATTCCTTCTGCAAAGGATCCTGCAAAAGAAACTTTGAGGTTTTTGTCTTGATTGATTGAAACAGAAAAAAAACGCCCCCCCCCCCCCAAAACAAAAAAAAACCTTTCAGAAGGAAAATGAAAAGCCCAGAAGATAAATTCCATAACTTTGGTCTGAGATTTAATGACTAAATGTAAAAGAAGGATTCTGCACATTATACCTCCAGTTCGTTTGCAATCTTTCCTTTAAATTTTCCCTGACTTCTCTGTTTACTATTTTGCTTAAAGAATCCACTTTTTCTTCAGAGGAAAAGGCAATCGTTGGGCATTGGGATGATAAAAATTGTGAATGCAATCACATGTAAGTATGCAAGTGTAGGCAGGCAAATGTCCATTTTAAATCTTGAAGAAGTGCCTAATGTCATGCCCAAATTATTAGGGTCAGTTAACTATTTCAGGACAGACTAATAGTGGTGTTGTGGGTAATATGTCAGACTGATGGGAGAACCTAGGTTTACATGTAATTATGGTTACTAGATGAATTTGACTGGCACGTGACTGGCAGATGGCTTTTTACTGGCTGATGATGCTCAGAAGCAAAGAGCAGCAAAACCAGTTGGCTTAACCAATGGGTTGGTTTAACATCCCTTGCATGTATAAAATCAAGGTACTATCTTGAGATGGACAAAATAAGTTTATGCAGGGGCTGATTTCTGCTTGCTCACATATGACTGGAAGGCTAATTGTGGAGCCCTGGAAAAATGTCTTCACTCTGATGAAAATTAACATTTAGGCAATTATGTATTTGCAGGATATTATTGTTGTTTTTTAAAACTGCAATAGGAACTTGAAATAGCATAAATAAGTAGTATATGGGGAACAGTTGTTAAATTATGTCTTTATCTGACTTTGTTTTAAAAAAAATATTTAAAAGAGATGCCTTTACAGCTTTTGGACTAAACAGCTAGCAGGAAGCTTGCAGTTTGGAAAGCAAAACAATGCACACTTGTGTGCATGGTCTTTTACTTACATTCGGAATCTCTCATGCCCACTCATTTTTAAAACCTTTGGAAAGGCCAATAACTGTTAAATTAACTTATATATGCCTCTATTAATTAGCACATTCCACCAAGTGAGAAGTTGGATTGTCTTTCTCGATGATCTAAAACAGTGGTCATCAACCAGTGGGCCGGGGACCACTGGTGGTCCGCAAGAAAATTTTGGTGTTCCGCAGAGAAATAGCACCCCCAAAGCAATAATCCTGGCTGCTCTGCCGACATGGCCCATGGGAACACAAGGCTTACATTGCTTGCATTGCGAACAACATGAGGCAGTGAGGGGAGGATGGAAAGGGAGGGGGGAACTTGCCCCATGCGCCTCACCTGGCCACGGGACTGCTTCTTTCCGCTTCTTTCTTCTTCTGCTTTTGGCTGCACGCAAGGAAAGCAGCAAAAGTCTTTCTTTCTCTCCCCCAAACTCTGCCAGAAATGAGTCTTTGGGACCCTGAAATGCATCCTGCTCCAAGATGCAACAAGTCTCTCAAAAACTCATTCCTGGCGGAATTTTGGGGGAGAGAAAGAAAGACTTCTGCTTCTGCTTTTTTCCTTGCATGAAGCCAAAAGTCTCTCTCTATCTCTTCCCATGAGAATGGAACTGGAGATGGTATCCTGCGATCCCAAATAAAGAATGATCGATCGATAGGAAAACGGGATGGGGAATTTTCCTGCAGACTTTTTTGGGGATTTTCCCAGGGTCTCTGGTCCATGGGATTTAAAATTATGAGTTTGGTGGTCCCTGAGGTCCAAATTGTTTGCGACTCGTGATCTAAAACACTTTAATCTGGTGTTCCAGATGAAACCAGCTTGGACCACAACTTCCAAAATTTGACTGATTTGCCAAATTCTGATCGAAAGCCAAATCCACTTCTTCCAGAAGGCACCCACTTTGGAAAATTAGCAATAGCCATAGCACTTAGAATATACCTCTTCATATTGCTTTATAGCCCTCTCTAAGCGTTTTTCAGATATTGTACCCAACAATCTAGGTCCTCATTTTACCGATCTCAGAAGGATGGAAGGCTGAGTCAACCTGGAGCCAGTAAGAATTGAACTCCTAACAGTGAGCAGTGAATTAGCCTGCAGCACTCTGCAGTCTAAGCATTGTGTACCATAGCTCAGGCAAAAAGACAGACTTTTGTCTCCATAGTATGGATTCAGAACAGTTTGTGGTCTGACCATACTAGTCTTATTCTTAATGTAACAATGCTTATCAACATGACCAGCTGACTTAACATCATGCATGTCTTTCACTCTTTAGTCAGATATGCTATGATAGGAATTATAGTTCATTTTACTACATCATTTTTCCTCACATCTATCAACAGGAAGGGAGAATTGCTATTAAAAGTGGTAAATCTTAGAAAATATTCTGTCATATCCTTGAACCTTTTATTGGCAAGCAGCAAACTTCATTAGTTGATAGATTCAGTCAACATATGTTTGTTTCAATTGTTGGAGTCCTAAAAAAAACAACCCAACTACTACTACACTTTGTCTTCTTATTGGGCACAGTTTCTTCCTATTTATCATTTAGGGAGTCATGGCCTGTCTCACGTTCTTTTTCATCCTTCTGAACACCCACAGTCGGAATTTGAAGGTACTGAGTATTGTTTCTGACTTCTAGTGGAGACTATATTTTCATTTTTTGCTCTTGGTTTTTACTTTCACCCAGTGCATTTGATAGTGCCTTTTCCTCTGTCTACTTGTTTTTTTTTTTTAAACTATGGAGCTTCCTTTCTTAAAGGGTAGCAATTTGAGCTCCAATTCCATGGCTTTTTCTCAAGGCTTGCCATACATTTGCAAATGTATTCCAGCTTGTTTTCAGAAAGGAAGACAAAAACCACAAACATTGCAGGTCACAATTGCAAATCCTTGTTTGTTGGTCTTCAGGTTATCTTCATAAAGCGCTTCAAGTAGAAAGGCTTTTATTTTGTTGTTGTTCCTTAGGCTCTTACATTATTCAAGTACAATTGGCTTAGAGGTAAATTGGTCAGAGTCTCCCACAAGACTCTCCAGGCAAACTAGTTTAGTAATCTTGCACAACCTGCCATCTTTCATTAAAATGTTTCTGTGGATTTTTAAGATTGATTACTATCATTTAAAAAAAACCCAAAGCATTATTAAATTACCCCAAATTAATCAGAGGTTTTTCTTTTGTGGAAAGAAGGGAAGGAATAATTAATAAGGAGGCATTAGTATAATAAATATATTTTACAGGTAAATTTTATTATTTTTAAAAGTGGTGGACAGTAGAAGCATTGGGCAACAGAGAATTTGGGGAGGAGGAAAATACAGTGCAATAGATTATTATTTATATCTACTACCCGTCCCCCAAAAGGATCCTTATCTTACAGCTTTTTGCAGTAGAGGACATGGCTGCAGTATTTTCTGCACTTGGGGGAGGGGAAGCAAAAACAGTGTGTATCATGAGTTTTTAGAAAGCAGAAATTAGTATCTCATAGTAACTGTTTTATGTTCTCATCTACTGAACATAATTTTAGACCTCAGGTCTGTGCTCCTCCACGTGGCATCAAATCTCAGCACAGACTCAGTAAAACTGACTTCTAAATAAATATCACATGCTATTTAAGGGTATTCATTAATAAATATATGTAGTGAGGAGGGGAATACAGCTCATCCACTGACCTGGCAAAGATGTATATATTTTAAGTCCAAAGTTAAAATTGTGATAAAAGTGTTTGAAACTTTTTCTGGGGCTACTTTACTTTCGGCTCCATGTCCAATGTAAAATTGGATTAAATAAAAGGTTTAGATTAGAGAAAACAAACAAAATCTTCACAATATATAATTCTATCCACTATTCTTTAACCAAGTAAGACTTCATGTTCAGCATTCATATGCTTGCATAAAATACATGCAATTTCCAGCAGAAGGCAAATGATTTGTTTTAGTAAACAGTAATAGTGAATTCAGTCTTTGCCTGGGATGTGGTAATGGTGTCCTGCATACTTCCTGATGTGTTCATATGCTTATTTTTTCCCTGCTGTCCATAGCTGCTATTTTAACCCTTTACCCCTTGCTCTTCAGTCTTCTTCAGGCTCTCCATCCCGTGATCACATACAGTTTAATTCAGGGCCCCTGGAATTCAGCAGCACTTCCTGGCCAGCTTCTGCGGCAAGGGTAAGCGAATTCTGCAGCAAATGTCATTCTGCATTATGGCAGTGAGAGTCTGAAACCATCTGCCACTCATGCATCCACCTAACCCAGCGTTGGCTGCAGAATTCCAGGAGCCCTGAGCTTTTCCATGGCCATAGAATTGCTCATTGGCTTTGGAATTTCTTCATTGAGAGGGAACAATCAATATGCCATATGATTTTTCAGATGGCTAACTTGTGTGTCAGTGGAAGTGGGTTGACACTCTATGCCAGCACTTTTGTTGTTTGTGAGATGAATACATCAGAGTTTTGATATTTAATCAAAACTCTGGAATCACAGCAGGTTTCTACTTCTCCATTTATACCCTTTCCTATATTGTTCTGAGAGGATATAAACAGAAGGCCGCCATTTTGAATCCCCCGGGCCCAAAAATATATTGCTGTAAATCATGTTCCACATTGCATGTCTTGGGAGGGTAATTTAGGGAAAATGCTTAGGTTTATAAGTTGGACAACAGGTAGCAGAAACAATGTACTTATAACCAGTCTTTTCGTATTAGTTTTACATTGCATTGGACATGACTGAAGTTGGAAGTGAAGACCTGGAAATGAGAAAACAACATTTCAATATTCAATTTCTAAGTGGCAAATACCTTCTTGTACATACATGCATAAATACAGAATGCAGCAAGTAAGCAATAGGTTGTTCAGTTAAGAGGAAATTATAGTTTCTGAGGTACAATTGCATCTTTAATACTATAAAAACTTCCCTTCTTGGGCAGATCAGGGGTCATTTAGTCCAGCATGCTGTTTTTTAGAGCAACAGGATGGATGCTTACAAGAAGACTACAACCAGGAAAAGTAACCTGTATATTGGCTACATCAAGGTGAATAATAAACACAGATAATACCCAACTGCAGTCCCCAGCATTTGGGGCTTATCAGTGTATATCATTGATATTGATGTAGTGGTTAACCTTAGAAACCAGGAGGGTTGAGTTTTAGTCCTACCTTAGACAAAAAGCTGTCTAGATGCCCTCAGCCCTGGGAACCAGACAATGGCAAACTATTTCCAAGAAATCTTGCCAAGAAAACTTGTCTAAGCAGTTGCTAAGAGTCAGCACTGACTCCAAGGCATCCCAGAAACATGTACAAGCACCCAAGTTCATCATCCAAAACAACATAAGTATTTACATATTAATGGTGGTAGCTAGTGCTTTCTAGCTGTAATCTTTCCTTTTTACAGAATTCCTTCTCTTCCTGTCCCACCTTCATATTATATCATTGCAAATTTATATAGCTTTCTGTCTCATCCAACATAACATTAAATCTGAAACATCAGCACCACCATTATCACTTTCATAATCCAAAGCCTATAAACAGAACAGTAGCAAAGTAAAAAAAAAATTATGATAACAGTTTTAATACTGTACTTTTCCTTTGGGAAAGTATTTCTTATACTCTCACTGACAAGTGATGCCCTCTTGTGGAAGTAATGTTTTTGACATCTAAAAGTCTGCTTTTGGATTTTTCCTTTGGCTACCTAGTGGAAGGACTAGAATTTTAATTAGGAAAACAGTGCTGAAAAAAAAATGAGACAGCCTTGGTATAGTCCACTACTAGCAGGGGTGGGATTCAAAATTTTTAACAACCGGTTCTGTGGGCATGGCTTAGGTGGTGGGCATGGCTTGGTGGTCATGTGACTGGGTGGACATGGCTTGGTGGTCATGTTATTGGATGGGCGTGGCCAACTCAATATCACACATCAAGGCACGCATCTCCTCGCCTGGCCTCTCATGACTGTGGGGATGCTGCAACAGTCGTAAGTGTGAAAAATGGTCATAAGTCACTTTTTTCAGTGCCATTGTAATTTTGAATGGTCACTCCACACATGCAAAGTACCAGCAAAGGAGGGAAAAATAACTCCAGAGAAGTTCCTGAGACAGGAAGTCTAGTCCTGCCAAGAATGTAATAAAGGTTAACGGAGAGGCAGTTTCTGTAAGCAACACCAGAATGTTTCCTTCCTGCCTTCCTTACAGGATTAGGCCAGTAATTTCTTCTAAAACCAGTTCTCCAAACTGCTTAGAATGTTAACAACTAGTTCTAGCGAATAGGTGCGAACCTGAAGAATCCCACCCCTGACTACTAGCCTCCCTTAACTATTCCTGCCATATGAAACCTTCAAATTTTTATGAGTCCAAAGCTCCATGCCTTTTAAACTGGGCTGCCACTGGTTTTTCACTGAAAAACTTCAGCTTGAATGGTATAATTTGCAAGGTTCAGATTTTGGGAACATGGCTTCTTCCCTCCTTAATGCATCCCCTGCTTCTGGCATTCCTTGCCAGCATCCTGGATTGACCATCTCCCCATCCACACTACTAGGTAGAATCTCCAATGGTGAAAATTTGGAATGGAGGGGGAAAGGGGAAAAATGCTTATAAAATGCTTTGATGGGAACTACTTTTTGGCTGGCAGAGAAGTAGCAACTGAACTTTAATTAAAAGTGTCTGATCAGATTTTATTTGAATGAAATGCAATCTGCGAAGGCACTTGGGGAGCACATCAATACTCCCTGTGGGATAATAGTTGCCATCTTCATGTGCCAGGATGTTTGACTCAGGCCTCTAAAAGGAAACACACACACACACACACACATCCCATCACCGTGTACTTTTTAAATATAGCACCTAGGAATACTTCCACCTTCTTTCTATGAGATTATAAATTTTTCAATGTTAGAAAGAAAGCCCCACTTTTAGGCCTTGACTTGCCTTATGATTTTAAGTACAAGGGCCTTTCCAAATCAAGGCCGTTGGTTTGCATTAAGAACGCCAGTCTATATTTTCACTGCATTTCCATTGTACAGCTGAAATGTAGTTTTGTGTCACAATTTAACCATGGAGTTTTCCAGTTAGCAATAACCACCAACTTTGTTTTAATTGTGGGCTTTGGGAGTTTTGCAGTAACTTGGCCTCCTGATGCAAGCAAAATCAGTACTGTATGGGTAGAAGTGTGGGGAAAACACAATCTGGTTTGATTTTGCCTGCTTTCATCAGGGAAGCGGGTTTTTTGTGCCTGGTTAATGACAAACATATTTAAATGTTGTTTGAACTTAAAATGGAACAGTCTTTGTTTTGTCCAAAATTGCAGTTGCATCTCTGGCAGTTAAACAAAGGCTAAACATATTTACTCCACAGTAAGTTATACTCAGTGGGAGCTTGTTCTTAGCAAAATATCCTTTGGACCAGGCAGCCCAAACCTACAAGGTTGCATGCCTTTTAAGCTGCTAGTGGTTATAGATTTTATACTCCAGAGAATGGAAGTTAATATAATTAAAACGTTAGTATGTTAGCATGATACATATGAAAATACAAACAGACCCTAGCTTTAGGGCAGATGTCTTCATTTGTAAGCGGATTTGAAATAGCTCTTCAGTCTGAAGTTGAATATTTAAATGTTGAATTATACTATTTTATTTTGTTATGCTCTACTATAAACTGAAACAAATTTCTTTCTATCCCATTACCTTCCCCATTTTGCTCCTGGATTTTTAAAAGACTTTTTCAGCAGATAAAAGTATTTTGTTTCACTGGGGGAGAAATTGTGCACATGATGCAGACCAGCAGTGTCTCAGCATGCCTTTAGTTGTCCAGGCACAATCATCTTCTGCATTCATTACCAGCTGCTTTTCTCCATCTCTCCTGGAAGAAAATGGTTCAGTTCCAGAGTATCTCTGGTGGAAGATGTGTAATTGAAAGTTGTGCAACTTCCACTATCCAAATCAGGCCATTGTGTGGCAGCAATATCACTTTGGAAACAGTGTGACTTTGTAATAGGATTCTTGTGACAACCATGAACCAGTTCAAATATCTGATATCCCACGAGTATGGCCTACAATAAGCAGGTTCGATGTGCCAGTTTAATGCATTAGACTTTAGCAGATTTGGAAACAGATGTCTGTTAATCCCTCAAAAATCATGAAAGTGACAAGGTCAAATTGATCTCATTGAAACATCAGTTAAGATCTTAATATACAATGACTTTAATAGCAACTATGAGCTCCCAATAAAGAGAATGTTGTGTGTCATCAAGAAACATGGACTACAGGTAGTCTTCGACTTATAATACTTCATTTAGTGAACGTTCAAAGTTCCAACGGCACTGAAAAATGTGAGTTATGGCCATTTTTCAATGTTACAACCTTTGCAGCACCCCCATGATCATGTGATCATAATTCAGATGCTTGGTAACTGATTCATACTTATGACCGTTGCTGGGTCATGCGATCACTTTTTGCCACATTCTGACAAGCAAAGTCAATGGGGAAGCCAGATTCACTTAACAACTGGGTTACTAACTTATCAACTGCAATGATTCACTTAGCAACTGTGGCAAGAAATGTCATAAGATGAAGCAAAACTCACTTAACAAATGTTTCACTTAACAACAGAAATGTTGGGTTCATTTGTCAAGGACTACCTGTAGTGGTATCTGTTGCTGTATGATACAGCTCTCAATTGTAATTATGATGGACAACTGAGGCAGCAAGGTAGAAAGGTTAGACAAAAACTGTCCAGACCTCACAGTAAAGAGGGAGAGATTTTTAGCACTTTATTTTCCTCTGTATGGCAAAGATCTCTCTGTATTATGGGTATGGGTATTTTCCTTATTAACCCAATTATCTCTCTTACTGCAGTTGGAGCTGCTGCTATCAAACATCCTTCTCCTCCTTTAAGATACTATATAGAAGTTTCAAAAATCTGGCTTTATAACAATTAGTTAAAACACTGCTTCCCAATTGTAGTCTAGACTCAATGGTTCATTCATAGCTTGATTTTTGATGGAGTAGAAAACTTGAATCAAACATTACAATCAGGGCCATAAAGATAACTACTTCTATTTAACTACCTCCTATCTACCCACATATTTATCATCTATATCTGTCTGCCTGTTTGTCTATCCATCCATCCATCCATCCATCCATCCATCCATCCATCCATCCATCATCTACCTTTCTATCTATCATGTATCTAGCTATATCTGTCATCTATTACACAAGTATCAAACTCGCTGCATCACGTTGCCATCACGTGACATTTTGTGACACATCTGGCCCATGGGCCACCAGTTTGATACCCCAATCTATTTTATCTATCATCTCTATCATCTATCCATCAATCAATCAATAGATCTACCTATCTCTATCTATCTATCTATCTATCTATCTATCTAAATCATCTATTTGCTGACCACCTCACTGTTACAGTGACTCTGGCGTCTTAGGACATTTTTATCATATTTTGAAAGTAAGAAGTGCTTTCATTATGCATCTTTGGAATATAGTCAGTAAGAGTCAACATGCTGTGTGTTTGAATGTTTGATGAATGGGGCCATCTTACTTTAGTAAATAAGGAATTTGAAAAAAAAACCAAAATCTTTAGTGATAAAACTACAGCAGGAAAATTGGGAGAAGGGGAGTTGTGTTGCATTAGTTCCTATACTTCTTCACCAAATTCTCTTTCTAAACAAAATTAGCTTGTTTTGTTCAATTTATGATTTATTTTCTCTTCCTCCTTTTTTAATCATAGGGTAAAAAGAAAAGGCGAACAAGAGAAAAGCAGCAAGATTCCAATTCAGGTAAACCTCCTGGTGTAAAATCTAGCACATTATCTAGTTTCTGATCACTTCATTTACATTGGTAAGAAATTAGCCAAACAATATGTCTTCCAGGAAGTGTAGTCATGGGTTATTATTGGGACTATTTATGCTTTACTGTCTGCACTAATCTTTCTAACTTTACTGCTATCTACAATTATATATTATATCTGTGATGACAATATCAACAGACCAAAAGTAACTCATGTTAACTGCAGATTGAAGTACCAAGTTAATCCCATCTTCTTGCCTTAACAGTCTCTTAAATTTGTGGCTGTTTCAGGTTTTTTCAATAACAAATGAGGAAAGCACAAGTTAAAACATTTATGAAACATTTGACTTCCAATCCAACAGCCCGTTTTTGCAACAATTACCCAAATATACATAAGGAATTGTTTTGAGGTCAAAGGGCTCCATCAAAAAAAAAAAAGTTGGGGGAAGTACATTATCAGGAACCTGAGGGGGTTCAAAGAGAAAAAACATGTAATAAAAGATATTTTAAAATGGATTAAATAAAATTCTGCATTGGCAAAACTTGCCAGATCCTGCTTTTATAACTATCTATATTATGGTGTATGTTTTTCCTTTGTATTCAGTTTAGATTAGTTGCTACAGTATTTTTAAAACATATATAGAAACTTTCAATAAGCACAAAGGTCTTTGTTTAGGGGATTAGAAATAATTAACAGGCATGATGCCTGTAACAATAATAACAGTTTCTAAGAAGGGCATAAAACCTTAACAGATGCATTCTCATATATGCTTTTTTAATATTAGTTTTTCCTTAAAATTATTATTCACATATTAAAATATAATTAATCCATTTTGTCATTAGATACGGCATTTGGGAAGATGCCAATGAGAAAGAAAATCAAATTAATTCCAAAACATTTCTTAAATTTAATTTATATTATGCACATTTTAAATCTTGAATTCATTCTGGGTAATGAACATTAGTCAATTTCTCTTTATGACTCTTGAGCCCTTGAGAAAAGAGTAAAAATAAAAATCATTTGCAAATTCTCAACAGCAAGAGGAAAGGACCCCACCAAAGCTTTTGGAATATAAGTTTCCCATACATACTAGCCATCTAATACTGGCTATTGTCTTGTATACTTTGTTCTAACAGTCACATAATTTTCTAGGTTTGTAGGTGACACATGAGTTTGGAATCCCTGTTACCAATAAAAACAATGGATTCCTATAGAAATTAACTGAGGCAGCCATTTTTTGGACTAAGCATCCATGCGCTAAAAAATGTATACAGTTCAGTCAAGCAGTAGTAGTATATACGCATGTGAAAGCTGTGTGTATAGCAATAGCACTTAGTTATATACCACTTTACAATGCTTTACAGCCCTTTCTCAGCGGTTTACAGTGTCAGCATATTGCCCCCAATAACCTTGGTCACTTTACCAACCTTGGAAGGATGGAAGGCTGAGTCAACCTTAAACTGGTGAGACTCAAATTGCCGAATTGCTAGCTGATGATCCCATATCCCACCAGTTCATAATAGCTGGGTAGGCTGGATCTCCAAGAGCTATAGTTCAGCAACATCAGGAGGGCTACACTCCTACTTCTGATCTAGACTGTAGCTAAGTATCATTAATTTCAAAGTAATTTCTTGCTCTCTTTTTTTCTAACCTGTTTGTTTAACAATAAGTATTTGGCACATAGGATGTCGCTAAGTTACTTCTTCATAGGGAAGAATATAACAAAATTCTAACATAAAAAGACCTGCTTGCTTGCTCGGCAGAATTTCAGATCTAATCAAACTTAAAGGAAGCTTTCAGATATTCTCTAAAAAAATGCATAGGTTGAAACACAAAAGTGATCAAAATGAAATAAATAATAAAACCCTAGTATTTTATACTACTGATCTGCAATTTCATTTTCCTAATCATTGCATCCGTGCCCTATTTGTTTAACACTCACTTTTTTTGGGGGGGGGGGAAGATGATGTTAGTAGACATTTATGGTGAAGAATTAAGTTTACGTGGCCTATTTAGTTTTGTCTTCAGCAGCTAAATCGACGTTGCATCTTTTCTTCCTTCTCCTGCTCTTGCTGCTGTTTGTCTTGCCCATTCAATACGCATGCTTCTTGTTCAGATCCTGCCTCTCCTAAGAAATGCAGAGCTCGTTTTGGCCTCAACCATCAAATGGACTGGTGCGGCCCATGCAGGTGTGTATCGGGAACTTTCGCTTTGCAGCCCTGCTTCTTACCACAAAGATGGTTGTACTCCATTTTGATTGATCTCCTTTGCATCATTTCTATAGCTGCCCTTTTCTAACTCTACTAATGGTGCTGCTTAAGCTTGCTCTCAATTTTCCACATGCTTCATTTGAGTGACCTACAGAGGCTTTCTGCATTTAACGCTGAAGATATTAGTGAAGTATCTTGGCATAATGTATATGGAGGGGAACCCTTTTTTTTAACTAGAGTGGTACACAGAAAAATGATTAAATTTTTTTGAAAATGATGTCAGATTCATTTAAATGGACTAAAGGATAAAAGTGGTAAATTATCAGAATATTTTTCCATGAATCAGTAACTGAAACTTATTGATATGTCCTTCCTTGCCAATTGCCAATCCAAACAGTATGGCTTTCATGGTCCTCCAGTCTCTTCTTAGTAATCTATTAGGAAAAATGACTCCTGTTCCTTAAAATTTTTGGTTAAGGAAGCAATGCCATTTATTATTCTTTGTGTTGGTTTCAATACTTATGCATCAACAGCCCCCCCTACAATTGTTTTAGTTTCTTATCCTGGAAAATGAAGCAATCTGTGGCTGAAGATGATATAAACATACTGTCCTCACTTTTTTTCTTCCAGAATAAACAGATTCAGACTGTTTTTAAAGTAATGGATGAAAAAAAAATGTAACACAGGGCTCTTCAATGATGTGCTTGTAGCATGGACAGGACTTCCCAGTATTTATTTGGGTGGGGTGGGGTATAAGATTACTAAGCAAAATATTCTGCAAATATAATACAAACCTAATGGCTTCCATTTATGATAGGAACAATAGTAAGAAAATAGTAAGAAATAGTAAGATGATACTGTAACACGGAAAAGAACACAGAGCCTTCAAACATTGAGTAGGGGCAACAATTCTTGTTCATCAGATCCTTCCTTTCCTATGTAAACCAGCACTGATAAGAAAATATCTACTTACCTCTCCCATAACAACGATGTTCTTATCTTGGTTTTATTTAGAATAGAGGACAATTTATAAAAGGTATAAAATTTATATTTTTCATACTGGGACATCTTGTCTGATGGCTCTCAGTCCTGTTCTTTGGAGAGCTAATTAGTCCTAAGGAATACCTTGGTGTTCTTTGGAAGCACCATGTCTGGATGTTTATTCCTAGATTTGGGAGATCATGGGTCAAAAATCATGTTTTCTCAGTCTATCATGATTCTACCCAATTTGTTGATATCCTCCAATTAAATATAGAATTTTTACCTTGTTGATTGGTATAATTTCTTTCTGTTGGTTTATTGAGTGAAGGAATTCAATACATAATGGTTTCTATAACTGTGTAACCATTGCATCATGTCTACCTAGCCATCAGAATGCTTAACTTCTAGGGGAAAAAACCTTCAATATTCATTCTAATTATTCTTATTTGATACTAAATGTTTGCTTTTATAAACGGTATCCATGTAGTATAAGTTAAAAATTGATTTCAAGACTAAAACAATAACTAGAAACTAGTGAATGTTTCTAGCAATACAAATATGGCATTCTTTACTTTCCTTTCTCACTATATACATTGCTCAAAAAAATAAAGGGAACACAAAAATAAGACATCCTAGATCTGAATGAATGAAATATTCTTATTAAATACTTTGTTCATTACATAGTTGAATATGCTGACAACAAAATCACACAAAAATTATCAATGGAAATCAAATTTAGCAACCCATGGAAGTCTGAATTTGGAGTTACACTCAAAATTAAAGTGGAAAAAAACACTACAGGCTGATCCAACTTTGATGTAATGTCCTTAAAACAAGTCAAAATGAGGCTCAGTAGTGTGTGGCCTCCACGTGCCTGTATGACCTCCCTACAACACCTGGGCATGCTCCTGATGAGGTGGCAGATGGTCTCCTGAGGGATCTCTCCCACACCTGGACTAAAGCATCCCCCAACTCCTGGACAGTCTGTGGTGCAATCTGGCGTTGGTGGATGGAGCGAGACATGATGTCCCAGATGTACTCAATTGGATTCAGGTCTGGGGAATGGGCGGGCCAGTCCATAGCATCAATGCCTTCATCTTGCAGGAACTGCTGACACACTCCAGCCACATGAGGTCTAGCATTGTCGTGAATTAGGAGGAACCCAGGGCCAACCGCACCAGCATATGGTCTCACAAGGGGCCTGAGGATCTCATCTCGGTACCTTATGGCAGTCAGGCTACCTCTGGTGAGCACATGGAGGGCTCTGTGTCCCCCTAAAGAAATGCCACCCCACACCATTACTGACCCACTGCCAAATAGGTCATGCTGGAAGATGTTGCAGGCAGAACGTTCTCCACAGCGTCCCCAGACCCTATCATGTCTGTCACATGTGCTCAGTGTGATCCTGCTTTCATCTGTGAAGAGCACAGGGCGCCAGTGGCGAATTTGCCAATCTTGGTGTTCTCTGGCAAATACCAAATGTCCTGCATGGTGTTGGGCTGTAAGCACAACCCCCACCTGTGGACGTCGGGCCCTCATACCACCCTCATGGAGTCTGTTTCTGACCGTTTGAGCATCCACATGCACATTTGTGGCCCACTGGAGGTCATTTTGCAGAGCTCTGGCAGTGCTCCTCCTGTCCCTCCTTGCACAAAGGTGGAGGTAGCGATCCTGATGCTGGGTTGTGGCCCTCCTATGGCCTCCTCCATGTCTCCTGATGTACTGGCCTGTCTCCTGGTAGCGCCTCCATACTCTGGACACTACGCTGACAGACACAACAAACCTTCTTGCCACAGCTCGCATTGATGTGCCATCCTGGATCAGCTGCACTACCTGAGCCACTTGTGTGGGTTGTAGACTCCGTCTCATGCTTCCACTAGAGTGAAAGCACCGCCAGCATTCAGCCAGAAAGCATAGGAACTGAGAAGTGGTCTGTGGTCACCACCTGCAGAACCACTCCTTTATTGGGGATGTCTTGCTAACTGCCTATGCTTTCCACCTGTTGTCTATTCCATTTGCACAACAGCATATGAAATTGATTGTCAGTGTTGCTACCTAAGTGGACAGTTTGATTTCACAGAAGTGTGATTTGGAGTTACGTTGTGTTGTTTAAGTGTTCCCTTTATTTTTTTGAGCAGTGTATTTATACTTCTTTCTCAGTATATATTTATACTGAGGTAAGAATTAACATTTTGCTTGTTGTCAGCTGCGTCTTTGATGCTAAGCCCTTACCACCACCTCTTCTAAAGTGCAATGCACAAACCATCTGAAAGGCAGCAGGATAGTGATGTCTAGATAGGCAGAATGGGTGGATATTACTGCAATTCAAAACCTTGGCTTACTGATTTAACTTTCCCCAAAATAATGATTCTACACATTTTCAAATGTTGCATTTCCTTGAAGTTGTTTCACAATGCAATAAAGATATCCACACTTTAAGACAATTGTTCTATTTCAGTCTGCTTTAGACTCCCTCGCTACAGAGCCTGAACTATGAATGTAGCCTGAGAAGAATCTTCTTTGGCAAGGCCTGTAAGAGAAGGTTGAGAATGCCTTCTCAGCACATGTAGACATCTCCTAGTATAGGCTGGGAGAATATAGCAGAGCATTGCCCAGTGTATTCCAGGAAGAGGAAGCCAATGGCACCATTAGCTTACTTGTTTTTCTCAAGACAGTTGGCTGGGAGCACTCACCAGCAGGTGCCAGATAGGTCAGACAGGTGTGAGGAAGGTGCACCACTAGCTCACCTGTCCTGACACATGCTTGTCAGACTTTTTGCCAGTCAATGTCAAAAGGACGAGATAAAACTGCCACTGGTTCTGCCCATGCTGGTCAACAGTCCATAAATGTGGCTGGCTGGCATCAATAGTTCAACTCTCCAAGGTACAATGGCCAAAATATTGCCATTACTGCTCTACTTTCTTTTTGCATTCATAAGCTGAAAATCCTCAGATGGAAGTGTTTTGAAGTTGGCCACTTTTATTGCATGCTGCAAAGAACTCTGTTGTGTTTGTCAAAAGCAACCTGTTTGGAAAACCTTTACATACCAAGAAGGCTCAGATAGGCTGGCTGTGGTGTTTGCTACAGAACTGCCTAGAACATATCCATTATATAGTTGCACCACTGATCCATTCCCATAAACTGAAGATTTTCCAGACTACATAGCTTCATTGCACGCTATAGATAATTTTGAAATTGCCTGGCAGAAAGTCCCATCAACTAATCCTGTGTGAAAAGGCTGAGAGAGCCCATCTCCCACAGCCTTTGCCCAAAGTGGTTTGAGAGCACCCGAACAGCTTAATCAAGGTGAATTAAATGGCCTTTTCTGGTAAAAATGAATTTGTTTGCTTTCACAGTTCAAACCTGTTCATCAAAACAAATCTCAATGATTTGCCCAAGATGTATTGGAAATATTCAGAACTGCAATGGAAAATATAATATTATAGTTTTGAAGTTAATGTGATATCCTTTGTTAGACAAGTGGTGCCTATCACCAATGAATTACTTCATACTCAAGAAGGCAGAATAATTTCTGAAATATGCTCAAGTATGGATAGAGCATCCTTAGAATTACTCATGCCAAAACAGCTACTCATTTCTAAATTTGGGGGGGAAGGAGGTGCTTTTAAGATATTTGATTCCTGTAAGTGTTGGACAAGTCCCTGCTTCTTTCCAAGGGTTGAGAAAAAGTTATTGGTCCTAAGTCACCCAGCTGGCTTCATGCCTAAGGCTGGGTTTTAGCCTATTTCTAATTTCTAACACCCATGAATTCAACTTAAAACATGATCTATTCGCCGTACGTCCTAAAACTAAATAAAAAAACCCAATTAAATGTCTGGCTCAAAAACATTATACTTATTTATTGGTAATTATCCAAATCTACGGCTATGTGTGGGGGTGTTTTTTTGTTTGTTTTCAGTAATCCCTTGGACAGCAATAACCAGAACGAAACATTTCTGATAACTTTTGATCAGTTTTGCACATTGGCTTGGAGAAATTTTAGCAGTTTTACAGTTACGCCTCCATCTAGTGGTTAAAAAAATACAAGTTGACAATAAGTGTTTTTTAATTAAACAAATTCTTCTTACAAAAACTTGAACAATAGGTGTTAATATATATGTTTTTCTTTCTAAATCCTTGTTCCTTAGACACTATACTTGTATTAAATGCTATAAATGCTTTCATTTTTAAAAATATGACCCTGTAAATTCACCCTTTATTTACAGATAACTCTCTTCACTGTTCTTAGGAGGAAAAAGAAGTGCATTTGGTACCTACAAGGAAAAGGACACTGCTCCAGCCCAGTTTCTTCCAATGGAAGTACTATAGATTCCCCTCCTTCCCCTTTGGATGTGCTCCAGTGTACATCCCCTGCTTTTATTCCAAACAAGCTTGCTGCTCCTGCTGATCTTATACATCAAAACCAAGCCAATCCTTCTTCTTTACCTGCACATCTCAAAACTGCTACAAGCACATCAGGACCTCCTTCTAAATGTTCAACAATGCCTCATAAATCCATAGTGCCAGGTGAATCCTCAGGGGACAATATGGTATCAATAGGAACATAGTACTAATGGGATAACAAGGTGCACAGATTCATCAGGCACTTTGCTGATTGGTTCTGCTGCATACAGAAGCTACAGAGACAACTTCAGCCTGCCATCAAATGGTATAGTCTTAAAGTCAGTCAAAAGCCAGATCAGAAAACAACACTGCAGCATTAAAAGTGTTGCCTAAATAAGGACATCAACAGTCTCTTTGAAAAGTATGAAGATAAACTTAATTCTGGTCAGTAACTGAATTATTTGATCCCTTTTCCAACTGAGATAAAAACAAAATGCACTGATCTAATTGCAGATGAGAGGTGCAATAAATGTTAAGGCATTTATTAAACTATTATAGTCAAAGTCCTGAGGTTCAGCCATCCAATAGATATTACACATTACAAAAGCAGTTGTTGAATGACAAACTCAAATGCTCCACAGAAAAAGTATAAAGCAGCTTGTAAGAAACTAAAATATTTAATGCCTCATCTTTGGGATCAAGGGTGGATTGCGTTAACAAATGTTTATTCCAGCAGCTTTATTAGGTGATAAAATAGGAGAAAACACTGGCTGTGAAAGTCTATCTACTATTCCAGACATAGGGCTGTGTGCATCACAATTTTTCAGCTATAAAGATTTTTTATGCTATCTACTGTAAAATATGCAAAACCCAAAAATACTTATTTTTCACAGTTTACCGTACTTTTGCTATGTAATCAATGGGAAATAAAAAGGATATAAGCTGTGCCTCTAATCATTAAAAATTTACTTTGCAGTCTTTGTGGCTTCTTAAAAGCTTGCCAAGATTTACCCTCCTTCTATTTCAAGCCAATTGTGATCGCGCACTCTACCTATAGTCATTTCTGCAACTGCAGTATTGAAGCCTAGTCGTATTCCTCGTTCTCTGTATCCTTTTTGTCCATTCTACAGGGAAGATATTTATTTGAAAGTTATACGCTTCCCCAGAGCCCAATTCATTTTCAGTGCTAAGCAAAGTTGATTGCTTGGAACTTTAAACACAGATGGTCCCTTTCTGGTGCTTACTTTAGGGATGGTAGTTTTTCTCAGAGGACAAATATAGTCACACATCGATAACCAAACCCAACATACTGAGATAATACTGGACTGGAAGGAAAATTCATAATGTGAGTAACTGAAATGGGTGAGTCACTTCATTATAATGATATTTTAATGAACCTTGCATTAACCTTTCTGGGAGTAAAGGAAGTTGCAAAATCACAGCCCTGAAGAGTTTGCAACTCTTTATGACTTGAAACTAAACCAATTTGCTCCATCTGAAAGGACCTCATTTTTAGGAAGATTAGAAAGAGACTATAATGCTGACAGGTTACAATTTGAAAGTAGCAAGAAAGCTGATGATAAATGAATCAAAGGTAGAATTGCAGGTTGATCCTCCTAATACTTGCATGATGTTCTCATTCAAGTATCTTAGGAACTTGAGGGAAATGAGAAGTGATCCCTAATCTGAATTTCTGAATATCAGAAACCTCATCAAATCAAGAGTAGATAAGCCATAATCTCTCAACCACTTTTTTTCAGCCGTAACCATCCAATATGATTGCTAAGAACAGCTGATAGTATTTTCCCCCAACTTTAGGGCAAAAACTCATCCAAAAATGTAGTATAAATCCTAGTAATTAAGCTTCAAAAACTTAATTGGGAAAATCCCAGCTAACATACATATATTTTACTTTATTTGTGCCTTTGAGTTAGCTTTCATCTACGAAACTACACAAGTCCATGCAGTTTTCTTGGGAACAATTTTCAGAAGTGGTTTGCCATTGCCTTCATCCTAGGGCTGAGAGAATATGACTTACACCAAGTCACAGTTGATTTTGTCTCTACAGTAGGACTAGAACAGAATCACCTAGCTTTCAGCCAGTGCCTTGAGCAACATGAAATAGTCCTCCATTAAAACGCATTAGTAACCCAAGGAAAACTAGGAGCATCTTTTGGCATCAAAAGGCTGTCCAAACTTGATTTCAAGCCTATGCAAGAGCACTTCCCCAAGAATATCATTTTGAAATTTTATTCTTTAAAATGCTATACTTGATTTTTTTTCTTCCAGAAAGGCTCACCCAATTGATAATTCAGAGGAACTCTGAAATTCATGAAAATGTCCTGACCCCAATATGATATAAGCATAGCTCATAAAGAGGCACTTCTGCATTTGCACATACGAGTACATAACTAATGTGCAAAAATGGAACTGAATTAACTATTCAATATTAATCAGCATGATTATCATTTATGTAACTAGGAAGATAAGCTATTTTAGTTAAGACTAGAGCAGTCACAAGAATTAGAAACATTTTAAAACAATCAAGATTCCAAAAATGCAAGTATCACTTAAATACCAAAAAGAGATGTTTAAAAATGATGTATTAAATTTTCTGTATTTTATCTTCCCTTGCTGTGTAAAATGAAAGCTTTTATCATGGTGTTTTACTCCTGAGTTAAATGTGTACACAGCAAGTGCAATTTTAATGCCATTATTTGCTTTTCTGAAGACTGAATGTATCATGTCATGGAAATTTAACTTTAATAAGCCACAAAAAAAATCTCTGTATGTATGTAGCAGGGGAAAATTTCTTTCATTTGTACAATCATCTGGAGTTGTTTTGTCTTTTTTTAATCTTGAATTTGTTTTGCTTCTTTGTTTAAAATTTGTTTATGGCTTTATAAATAAAAGTGATCTACCAGATTGTCCATTCAAAAATGGGTAACTGGGGACTATAATCCTATAAACAATGTTATATTTTGTGTGCGTATATTTCCATATATTACAAAAATATGTGTACATGACATAGTTTATGAAGAAAACCAATCAGCCACAAACATTTTAGATTCATCAAGCAAATTTAAAATTAAACATTTAGCACTTTTTCTGACAATGTTAAAAGGGCTTTATTCTTAAAAACAGTGTGCATTAACCGCAATCAAAACTTCAATCAACACCAGCAACAAGTGCATATATCAACAAAGCTAGATCTAGTTAGCCACTTGTAGACAATGGCAGTGAAAATTGACCATTCTACCTATTTTCTTTATAATTTATTTTCTTCCTACCAAAAACAAATGCTATTTCAGGGCAGGGGTCTCCTTCAAGTGGATATGGTTATAGCAGTTGAGAGAAAAGCTGCAATTATGATAAACCTAATGCAGGCATTATATGTGCAAGGTACAGAAGGTGTTGCTGTCTGATTTTGTGTGAGCTATACATGTACAATGGTATATCAGCTGTGATCTTCAACTCTGAGTGAAGTACATGAAGTAAATATGTATCTCCAACTATTTTAAAATGATATTTCAACTAATTTATATTATTCAATGCGCAGTCTGATTCCTACAGTTAAACACTGCCTCCCCAAATGAGTCTGTAGCAGCCATGAAAGAGAAAGCAATTGTTTTCCATTTGAAAGGGCCCAGTTGAATTCTTCATATGACTAAAACAGATTGAGTCTCATTTTTGCATCGGCCATTATGAGAAGGCAAATGGCACCTTCAAGTCTATGTTGACGCCTGGACTGCAATTTTCTTGGCAACATGTTCTGAAGTATTTTGCTGTCAATTTCTTTGTAGAACTGAAATAACCCAACGGCCAAAGTCACCCACCTAGTTTCATACCTAAGATAGAACTAGAACTCATATAGTTTACACCCTTGGTGTCTTGATCACTACTGTATATGAAACTGATTCTTTAGCTAGAAAAAGCATGATGGGCAAAAACACCTAGCCTGAGCTTCCCCCTTAAGATTAAGAGAGACATATTATCTTGTGAGACAGCCCCTAAATTTTCTTCAGGTCAAGGAATTGAAAAACAAAGTAGGTGAACAGCTGTTCTTCATTGATGAAAAAGACTAGGGTAATTTGCCAAAGTGCATACTGTGAGATGACAGTCAGCCACACTGCTTTGATCTCAGTTCTCAGATAGCAATGTAGATGGAAGGAACCAGCATAATTATGAACAGAACTAAGTTTCTGAAGCTGTAAGACAAACAATACACATTTTTTAAAAAGTCTACAGGCAAGTCTCCATTACTGATCTTTTGGGCTCTCTGCCCTTCTTGTTCATATGCCCAGAAAAAGCATGGATTTCACCCAAATTTCCAGACAACTAACTGTTAATTCCTATCAAGGCAATAGCTTCAATTCTCTTTGCTAAAGGCTCCCTTATAACAGCTGAACAACGAGAGTGACTGAAAAGTCATGGGGATTTGTATTATCTTTTTTTTTTTTTTTTTTACAATAGAACACTGATATCCTCTCAAGACAGATTCCAATGCTATACCATCCTGGGCTCAGTAGGCTGCCACAACACAGGCTGTGTTCTGAGACAGTACCTTGAAAATGGCAGTGTATACAAAGGTAAAACATTTAAGGCACACTGAGGTAGAAATGCAGGCGAAACTCAAAAAATCAGAATATAGTGCAAAAGTTCATTTATTTCAGTAATGCAACTTAAAAGGTGAACCTAATATATGAGACACTCGTTAGATGCAAAGCTAGATAGTTCAAGCCGTGATTTGTCATAATTGTGATGATGGCTTACAGCTCATGAAAACCCCAAATCCACAATCTCAAAAAATTAGATTACACGCAATCAATAAAACAAGGATTTTACATAGAATATCGGACCTCTGAAAAGTATAAGCATGCATATAAAATCATACACTGCAATGTCCTACCAGTCAGTGAATACTTCAGCTTCAACCATAACAACACAAGAGCAAACAATAGATACAAACTCAAGGTTAATCGCACCAAACTTGATTGCAGGAACTATGACTTCAGCAAGAGTAGTCAATGTCTGGAATACTCTACCTGACTCTGTGGTTTTTTTCCCCAAACCCCAAAAGCTTTAACCTTAAGACTGTCTACTATTGACCTCACCCCTTTCCTAAGAGGTCTGTAGGGGGAGTGCATAAGCGCACCAACGTGCCTACCATCCCTGTCCTATTGTTTCTTTATTTTTCTTACATGTATCCATGTATTCATAACTATGTTTTACTTATACCTATTATCTTGTAAGCAATTGACAAATAAAAAAAATATATAAAAAAATATGTACTCAGTCCTTGGTTTGGGCCCCTTTTGCAGCAATTACTGCCTCAATGTGGCGTGGCATGGAAGCTATCAGCCTGTGGCACTGCTGAGGTGTTATGGAAGACCAGGATGCTTCAATAGCGGCCTTCAGCTCTTCTGCATTGTTCGGTCTCATGTCATTTATCTTTCTCTTGGCAATGCCCCACAGATTCTCTATGGGGTTCAGGTCAGGCGAGTTGCTGGCCAATCAAGCACAGTAATCCCACGGTCATTGAACCAGGTTTTGGTGCTTTTGGCAGTGTGGGCAGGTGCCAAGTCCTGCTGGAAAATGAAGTCAGCATCCCCACAAAGCTCATCTGCGGAAGGAAGCATGAAGTGCTCCAAAATCTCCTGGTAGACGGCTGCATTGACCTTGGACTTAATGAAGCACAGTGGACCAACACCAGCAGATGACATGGCTCCCCAAATCAACACAGACTGTGGAAACTTCACACTGGACTTCAAGCATCTTGCAGTGTGTGCCTCTCCATTCTTCCTCCAGACTCTGGGTCCTTTCCAAATGAGATGCAAAAGTTGTTCTCATCAGAAAAGAGGACTTTGGACCACTGAGCAACAGACCAGTTCTGTTTTTCTTTAGCCCAGGTAAGACGCTTCTGATGTTTGTTGTTCAGGAGAGGCTTGACAAGAGGAATACGACATTTGAAGCCCATGTCCAGAATCTGCCTGTGTGTGGTGGCTCTTGATGCACTGACTCCAGCCAGAGTCCACTCCTTGTGAAAGTCCCCGACACTTTTGAATGGCCTTTTCCTGACAATCTTCTGCAGGCTGCGGTCATTCCTGCAGCTTGTGTACCTTTTTTCCCCACACTTTCCCTTCCACATAACTTTCTATTACTGTGCTTTAATACAGCACTTTGGGAACATCCAACTTCTTTTGCAATTACCTTTTGAGGCTTTCCCTCCTAATGGAGGGTGTCAATGATGGTTTTCTGCACAACTGTCAGGTCAGCAGCCTTTCCCATGATTGTGATTCCTACTGAACCAGACTGAGAGACCATTTAAAGGCTCAGGAACCCTTTGCAGGTGTTATGGTGTAATTAGCTAATTAGAGTGGGACACTTTGAGCCTAGAATATTGCACCTTTTCACAATATTCCAATTTTCTGAGATGGTGGATTTGCTGTTTTCATGAGATGTAAGCCATAATCATCTCAATTACGACAAATCACAGCTTGAACTATCTTGCTTTGCATGTAATGAGTCTCTCTCATATATTAGTTTCACCTTTTAAGTTGCATTACTGAAATAAATGAACTTTTGCACAATATTCTAATTTTTCGAGTTTCACCTGTAGTATTGGATGGATTG